GATTCTCTTGTCTTAAATTTTTATTTTTTAGTTTTAATGCATTGATAGCGATATTGTGATTATTCTTATAAAGACTAGTATCTATAAACTCACATGCTTTATTTTGTAAATAGGTGGAAACTATTTCTCCTTTATAATTTCTTTGAGAGTATAACATTGTTTGAAAAAGTGCCGATGCATTATGAACTTGGGGATCAGATAAATCGAAAACATGTATAAGCATTTCATTACGCTTTGCATGAATACAAGTATTCATTTCTCGAGATTTGAATATTTTTTTCATTATGTAAATAAAATCATTGTCATCTAATTTTTTAAATACTTAAATTAGATGATCAAGTAATTCTTCTCATTGTTCATACTTTCGTAAATTTCTCACACTTCTAAGTTGTTTATTTCGTGAGTTTAACCGACCCATTAAGTATATATTAAGGTAACACGTTGTGGCACGACAAGTTTTAGAAAAATGAAAAATAATTTATTATTTTAGGTTGAGACTTGCGATATATGATAGTTTTATTATATTTGGGATTTGGATTTGGAAAAGGTTATTATGCTTAGGGCTTAGGACTTGGATGTATTATAATTGGAATTCGGTATATTTTTGAAAATTTTGAACAGATGGTTCAGTTAAGAGATGTGATAGGTTTGATGATTTGGCACTGTTGGGTTAATCAAAGTTGGGTCACGATATATTGAGAGTTACAAGGATGGCTTTTTAATTAGATATATTTATTTATTAGATGTAAGCAATTAATTCTCTATTGCGATGAACTCACGTCTTTTTAAATGGTTTGCAACTTATTGAAATCAAATGATTAGAACAAGAAATCACCATTATATGACCAATAATCATAAACTATACACATTTTAGAATGCATTTTACCTTACTAAAGATAGTGACTATATGAACAAACGTAGAAAATTAATTGTTCTTCGATTTTGTTATAGTATGTTTTTTATTATATAAATATACATATTTATGTTTTTTTTTTAATAAAATCGCTCATTATTTACTTGTAATTCTATTCTATAATAAAGTGCGAATTGTTTTCTTCGTAATAAAGATACAATAATAGTTTTTTATAATTTATTAGACTTGCTACTGTATATTAGTTCTGAATAGTGATGGGACCTTCAAGCTTTTAATTAATAATGAAAAATTAATAATTAGTTAATAATAGTAATCACATTAAAAATATAATTGTATGCAATGAAATCAAACTTTAAGAAAGTTCCAACTTTCTAAAACATCAATAAAATAGAGAATAATAAATATTTATAAATAAGAAAAAACTACCCCAACACGCAGATGAATTGTTTTTGATTTTATTTTATATCCGTCAATAAATATACAAATTAAATAATATAGTTTTAATCAATTTACATTACTAAGTAACTTAGCCAATTGTTAATTATTAATTATTATTAATAATTCGAAAGATCCTACCACTAGTTCTAAATTCAACTTTGTTACAATAAAACATCTAAACTTATTTGTACCAAATGAAATCGATCAAAAGCAATTGTTATTTAATTAGATATTATAGAATTGTATTATAAAAATCATATAGCATGTAATTAGATCGAACAAATACAGTAATTACCATTTTTGAAAAAAAAGAATAGCGAATGTAGTTTGGATCTTAAAATAAATCATTATTTAATCCGTTATGATAGAATCTAAGAATATTCTTAGATTTTGATAACCCACCAGATTGTATTATAAAACTTGTATTTTAGCATTTTTGGAAAAGAAAAGTAGCGAATAAAATATCAAATCACCTTTTAATGTTCTGTATTGTTTATTGAAAATATGACGTATATAACAATTTACTATTATAGTAATTCAAAAGCCTCTATGGTGATTTTTTATGTTAAAGGTTTTTTGTTCCACAATCAGAAATTGGTACAGTATACTCCTATATTCATATCTCAATA